TCATCATGGGCAGGTAGTACCTCTCTCCATTGTAGGCATTTCTTCCTTAATCATTATTTATGGTTTCAAACAACTTGAAATTATTGTTATTTTTAATCCTACTAAACACAACGACAAACATCCTATTTACCTACTAAAAAAAATCTATTGAAAAGTGCATCAAGTTCTTAGCCTCAACATATCTTGAGACAGTGAGTCAGGCTATATGTTGTTGAATGCAATGCAAAGGAGTTAAAATTTGTACTTCGTTAACATAAAAGCAGGAGAACAACCATTATCAGTCAAGCAAAACCAATGCCATACTTTGCCATTCATTATTGCATCTGATCGCATTTCTGGTTTTACAGAATTTTCATTGTATTTCCTTCCTATATATACTCCAGATTTACCCTTCATTTATAATTACGTAAATGAGCAAACATTAGAACACCAATAATGTACTGCAAATACGGCAATATTTGTTTCCACACAGGTATTAGTGAAAAGTTGCCTCTATAGTGTATTTGCTCTGTTTCACTTTCCTGTCTCTAATTTATTGTTATGACATATGATAAGGAGAAACGGTGAAGGTAGCTTTCCCTTTTGCAATACTAAATGTGATATAGTGTTCAAGGAAAAAGAAGTTTAGTCTCTAAGAACAAAATGGTGACCCATGGCTGAGAACAATATTTGTTGGCTAGCACAGCCCTTGTGGGGTTTTTAATCTGCATTGTGAAGTATGTGAGTAATATGAAAAAAACCTTCCAGTAATATTTTAAAACACACTCATTGCAGAAATCAAGAAAACTGAAAGACATCACATCTCAAAAACAATGGAAGTCTCTCTTGCGAGAAACACTGTTTAATAAATTATAAATACAGCATCATATGAAATAGGATAAATTCAGCTTTGCTGACTGCTTTTCTAAACAAAAAATTGCACAAATCTGGAATTTTTTGTTACCAGCTGTGATGACAAAGTTGAACATTGCAAGAGAAAATCATTAAAGCTTTAGAAAAAGCAGCCATTTTCTACATTAACTCTTAGAAATACGTTATGAACGTTCCTCTAATTATTTTAGAACATCAGGGCAGGCATAACGGATTGGGACAAAATTCCATCCATCCAGGATAAATTTCAACACTGCCCAACAGCAGGTGACTAGGTGAGCGAGCATAAAAAGCACAGACATATACATAATGCTAATTTATCCACTGTCTCCAGTGATTTTTTGTGTCAAGAGTTTCTTGAATTGAATTTGGTATGTGTAAATCCAATCTTTGAGTTTGTCTAAGCAATGCTTAATGGTATAAACTTTTTGCATCCACAACATCCTGCAGCAAGGAGCTGCACAGCTTACCTATATGCAACATAAAGAAATACTTCCTTTTGTTTGCTCTGAACCTACTTCAATGAATTTGAATATTGGAAGGGAGAGTGAATTTTGGCTCACTAGTCTACTTTCATTATTTTTTACCATTTTAATTATTATTACTTCTCTTACATACTACAGCTCACATGAAAAATCACCAACTCGTACCTGGGATAATCTACTCATATATGGATTGAAAGCTCATTCCAGAAGGAACATAGTATTCTGTCGTTATTCTGATGAAAAACATTTTATTCTGTAAAGCAAAAGTTAGAATTCTACAAGTGGAAAAAAACTTTTGAAAATTCTTACTTTTGAACTGAAACAAAATTTCCAATGAAATCTGAAGCAAAGCACACATTCAAAATTTGAAATGTCATACTGAGATTTATTGTTTTGTTTAATAGTCACTAGCAAAAATACAGCCTTCTGTTCAGAAGAAAATAACATTAATTTTTATGTCTGATTTATGGAGACAGGGACTATCAAGCTCTGTGTGATCAAAAGGTTTTGTCATGACTGAGGTACAAGAAATTTTTCAGATCCACAAAGGAAAGAGAAAGAAGGATTATTTTATATTTGGACAAGGAATTAAACATATTTTAAGTGAAATTATCTGAGCTTTCTGAGTCTGCAAAACTCTGCTAAAAATGTCATAAGAGCACATAATTACTGTCTCTCTTTTCACAGTTTTCTTACCAGACTCTTCTGTTTCACTTACTGGCCCAAATTCCTAAGAACCACCTATGTCTGTCAAACTATTCTGGTGTCTCTGTAAAGTCTGAAGGCCATTCTGTGCTTGTCCTGGCATAGTTCAGAACCGCACAGATTACATGGGTTTTTTTTTAAATGTAGAAGATGTCTAGGGATTCCAACATCTCATAAGAACAGCTGCAATTCAGCAGCTGGAGCCCATCCTACTAAAGGGGTACAGGAGCCTAATGTGATGGCTCTGCTCCCCACCATCCCTCATATGCAGCGTTCCAGCTGCGGTAGATAATCAGCAGCCTAACTTGACCAGATGTGGCAAAACAAACACCCTACAGAAATTTGACTAACTGTAATTAAAATTTGGTTAGCTTGCTCCTTTGTTCTGTGTTTTTGACCCAACTGTGAATTTCCTTCTCTCTAATATGCCTTCCACTTGTCCCCACTCCACCAGAATTCCCTCCTTCCATGCTGATCCCTCTTTTCTTTGACCCCAGCCTTGCTTTATCTTCTGAGCACACTGTGTGTGAGCTCAACTGAGGCTTTGTAATAAGCTGCAGCAAGAAAAAAGAAAAAAAAATTTACAGTGTCTGAGGGGAAATGGCAGGCACATCAATGGATTCACTGACTGGTCCTCACTTCCCTTCTACCAGCGTTGAAGGTTTGTGAGGTAGCAAAAGGTTCTTACCTAATTTAACCTAGGAACCCAACACTGGTATGTCAGCCACCTTAAACTGCTCTCGTACCAGTGGAGAGGCTTTGGCACCTCAGGATTAAGACTGTAGTTAAAGCGAACTCTAAATAGAGATACTCGTCTCCGCTCAATACAGAAGGAGCCTAAGTGGGCTTGATCCTAACTTAAATGCATAAAGACGAGCGCGAAAAGATAAATGGAGAAATCTCGATCGAGCCGTATACCTTCTGCCAACTGCAACTGCTTGTTGATGATGGCAAGAAAGATGGCTTCCATTAGCTCTTCCTAACAGAGAGTGGCCCACAGCAGGTATTTTCCTAAATGTGTCCCTGCCTATGGTACAGGCAGCCAGCTCAAGATAACCCCACACCTACAGTAAGACTTGTTATTTGCAAACCATTTGAAGGAACTTTTTCAGAATTGTTAAATCAGTAACA